AAACCCTAAACCCCAAACCCTATGACCCGAAGCCCTAAACCCTAAACCCTGTTGTGGAGAAGGATGGAGATCCTGGGCTGTGACTTTTAACGCCATTTGTAGGCTGCGACTCGGTGCCTCCATCTACCCCTCGATTCTGCCCTGAAATGCCTATCATGAGGGGGGCCCCTATACCCCAGTTGAAGATTCTGGGGAAGGTTTTGGGGTTTAGGGTTTGGGGTTTGGGGTTTAGGGTTTTGTTCATACCAGCTGTTCAAGTGGCACTTGCTGCTGAAGATTGTCGAAGGGTACTCCGGGTTTTCGAGCGTTCTGTACTTTGCCGGGCAAGCCCATTGACCCTAGCGCCTAGAACTCTACAGCGCAAACCCAAAAACCTAGGACCCTAAGCCCTAAATCCTAAACCCTAAGACGTAAACCCAAAACCTACAGCTCAAACCCTAAATCCCAAGCTGCTGAACACCACATGGGGGAGTCGGAAGCCCTAAATCCCCTAAATCGCCTCAACCCCTTACAGCAAGCCTTACTGACTCCTACTCAAGCCTGTTGTAGTATATCATGGTATATCATCGTAGATCATGCATACCAGAGTATATCATAGCATACCACAGTATACCATAGCGTCGCATGGAATCCGGTATGCGAACTCCAGACCAGACGATTTAGGCTGTCCGCCTCATGAGCCCGAGATTCAACGGTTTCAGGGTTCAGGGTTTGGGGTTTGAGGTTTAGGGATCAGGGCTTGAGGTTTAGGGATGAGGGTTTGAGGTTTAGGGATTCGGGTTTGAGGTTTGGGGGTTGGGGGTTTCGGATTTAGGGTAGGAGGCATATGGGTGGTTGTCAAAATTATGGTCCCCTTTCGGGTCCTTATTACAATACGGCACCTATTATTTAGGGTACCCCAAAAAGGGACCCTAATTTTTACTACCCTAAACCCTAAACCCTAAACCCTAAACCCTAAACCCGAAACCCTAAACCCTAAACCCTAACCCATATAGGGTTTAGGGCTTGGGGCGGCAGGGTAACCTTTCGGGGGAAGTCTTGAGGATGTCGGGGTCGCGGCTTTAGGGGAGTGGGGTGTTGGGGGGTTTAGGGTTTAGGGTCTTGGGTTGGGGTGTTTAAGGATCTGAGGATCAGGATCAAGCGTCGTGTTTAGGGTTTAGGGTCTTGGGTTGGGGTGTTGAAGGAGTTGAGGATCAGGATCAAGCTTCCCTATTTTGAGGGTGTGGGTTGAAGGGTTAGGCTCCGCAGGAGACCCCGAAAAGTTCTCTTCAGGTGGATCGCGACAGCATCAGACGCAAGCTAGCCGCCTAAGCCATGATTTTGTAAACTAGACGCCTAAACCATGATTTCGAAACCATACTCCAGACCCTGTAAATCCCAGCTGAATGACTCCGACTGCCAGGAAATGCAAGATCGTTGGTTATGCGAGGGTCGCTCAGGACGGGGCTTGGGTTTGGGGCTGTAGGGATTAGGATGTAGGGTTTAGGGCTGTCGGTTTTGGGGTTTGAGGTTCAGCCTTTTGCGGCTTGAGTTGAGTATTTAGGATTCAGGAGAGTGCGAGGGTTTTGAGCTCAGTGTTCGGGTCTGAACGTTTGAGAAGTTCAGGCTTCAAAATTCGCGGTCGAATGGGCTTACACATCTGAGAGGGCCATGTATAAAATTTAGAATAGCGGATTGAGGTCCTCCTTTACGGTGAACTTCTATGAGGGACTCGTCCAACAAAAACGAGCACCATTACCCATTGTGCAGGCGCCTACACAAGGAAGCGCGGATCACCTCCACTTTAAGCTTATCTCGGGTTCAACGTTATTTTTGGTTCCCCCAAAGCAACAGCTGATAGAACGTCAAAGCCTGAAGCAAACAACAAGAAGATGCTTCCCAGAGCACCCTTCAAAACTTCAAAAGCCTGTGGTAGCCGTACTTCCTCAACAAGTAGCCCAGCCAACCGAGTAAGGAGCCCCCAAAAATACTATAGGTAATTATTATAGGTCCCTATTATACGATACTTCTAGTAAGGAGCCCCCAAAATTGCAATAGGTAACTACTATAGGTCCCTACAAACCCTAAACCCAAAACCCAAAACCCTAAACCATAAACCCTACCGAACTAAGCACGGTGTGCAACCGGGTAGAGCTCTGAACCGAAGGCTGCGACTCATGGCCCCCCATTGAAGCCTTCCAGTTCTCAATAAGGGTGGTTGTCAAAATTATGGTCCCTTTTGAGGTCCTTATTATAATACGGCACCTATTATTTAGGGTAGCCCAAAAAGGGACCATAATCTTGACAACTACCCATATGACTTATAAGCTTACTTATATGATACGTACACCTTTATGGTCCCTCTCTCTCTCTATCATTTATTTATTCTTTTATCTACCTGTTTATGATAATAGACCTTTATGGCACCTATCTGCGTATGTGGGCCCATGGTATCTATATAGTCGCCCCGTCAGCCATCCAGGCTCTCTTGGTTTTGTGGGGTGCAGGGCTTTGAAACGTAGGGCTTAGGGTTTAGGGGTTTAGGGTTTAGGGGTTTAGGGGTTTAGGGTTTAGGGGTTTAGGGTCTAGTGCTTAGGGGTTTAGGGTTCAGGGCTCAAGGGTTCTAGGATTCCAGGGTTTAGAGCTCACGGTCCAGAGTTCGGCGTTGAATCGGTCCTCCAGCTGTTCAGCTTGTAGCCTGCGGCTACGGGTGTACGGGTTCAGGGGTTTAGGGTTTTCGGGTTAACATTCTGCTGCAAAGCATCGTTTGTCGTGAAGTTGAACCTGAGTTGTTGCGGTGCCCTCAACTCAGCCCCAAGTACCCGGGTTGCCACGCGATCATAGCACCAACCCTGAGCCCAAATCAACCCTAACAAGAACTATGAATCAATAATATGGAGGTCAACCATATGAGTAATCGTCGTCCAAAAGGCCGAGGTCCGAACGAAGATGAGGGTTCTGGAACTTAGGATAAACTTTGGGGCTTGGGATCTGAAAGGCCCTCAGGACGTGCGAGCAGTGTTGGCCTGCCCGAAATCTGAAAAAAACAATTTGCACAGAGACAACCCGCATGGTATGCAAAAGTCAGTTGAACCAGCAGGCAAAATCCCGTAGCTGACGCAGGAGCTGACCCAGATGAAGATGTGCATCGCCAACGGTTATCCCTTTGTCTTCGGTTTCTCTGTATTTCCTAGCTTCCAGACGAAGGAAGTGGCATCGACCGGAAAGACGCTTGCATTAATCGGCATCGCATCGCGCTGCTGCAAGTGCATGTTGTGTTGCAAGTAGCACCTGTCAACCATTCAGGGTTTTGGGGGCTACCGCTGATACTAGTGTGGCTACTCTTACTGCCAATACTAGTATCTTCAGTGCGCTTAGGAATTATCGTGAAATCTTACTAAAGGAAAGCTTTAAGTAAGGGCTTCTTACAACAATAGGTTACCACCGGTGATTAAGGTATACATACGATTCTCTGTGTCGCGATGAGCGTGAAGAGTACGTCGCAGAAGTGGTATCAGTCGTGCTGGTAGTTCATTCTAGCATGCAGCAGCAGTGTTCTTCATGCCGTTGATTGCAGGATCTGTCGCTTGTACATCGGTGAGCAGGCTTTGTCGATTATTACAATACATAGCCCCGAAGGTTACCTGTGGTTCCTCTTTTAACCAACATAAGGATGGTCATGCCCCTCCCGGATGAAGAGGAACGAGGAGGTCACGCCGCCCCGGGGCACAATAGAGTGCTGGAGGTTCACAGAAGCAATAGGTGTCAGGGCTCAGGACGTTACGGCACTGGGGTTGGCAGGGTTTGACATTGAACATGTGTTCGTTGGTGTGTATAAAAAGATATAGATATATAATTGTATGTGTGTATACATATATATATATATATATCTCTCTCTCTCGCATGTGTATATCTCTCTGGGTTGTGCAAGGATGTTATAAAGATCTTTAGTGGCCCAGAGGGTTCTGACTCAAAGTCTTTGAGGCTTTGCACTTCGGGTTTACGGTCTGCAGTTTTTGACCCGTGAAATTTGCTTTTTAAGACTTCATGGTGTCAGGGGCGGGCGGAACAGTACGATCCAATAAGACAGATGAACTTGCTTCTACATTCACATGTAGACAGTTTGACTTCGGGCCACGAAGCTGCAAGTTGCAGCAACAGCGCAAGCGAGATGTGTTGGTTGGTAAAGCCACGAGTACATTTGCCACATCACAGGGCACACTATGGTAGGTTAGATACCCATACCCTCCCTGATCCTGATCGCTGTTTAGTATGAGTACTCAAAACAGTAGATTGGCTACCCCCGGCCCTGTGATCCGGTTCGTTGTCTAGGTACCGTTTCGTTGGGCTTAAGCCCAAACCAATCCCACACCCTGTTTTGTGCAAACCTGGATGTCCCAGCTGTGCTGAGCATTGAAGTCGTTTGCTGGACTGTGAAAGGGCCCAACACCTGCGGTTGAGGATTAGATCCTCTTTGGTGCCCAGAGGACACTACATACAATCCAGAGCACTCTCCCTGTTATATGTACTGGGATGCTTGTAGAATATTGCCGACTGCAATGCAGAATTGCCAGAGCTCCTGCGGCTGCGGAAACCTTACATTCGATCTTCAAGCACAACTTTTGACCCAGACTGCTCCTACAGAGCCCCTCTCAGTACCGTATTCCCCAAAACCCAAAACCCTAAACCCTAAGCCCTAAACAAAACTCGGAACCTACGCCTGGTTTGCACCACAGCAGCTTCCATCGACAAGCCGAAGAAGCGACACTCAGGTTTGCGCCGTGGGCTACGACGATTTCCAGGACTGTTTAGGAACTTAGTGACTTCGTGCTTGTAGATGGTCGTGGGTTCGGGGGTTAGGATGGTTTGGCTGGTTGCTTGGGCTCGAATGGCTTTGGACTTTAGGAGTCTATCTCTCCGGTTTGGTGGCAGAGTTTGGGCGTCAGGCTTCGGAGCTTGGATGAAAGGGTCTTGAGGTTAACTAGCTTTCTCACGTAATGTAAGGTTTTGATAATTAGAATAGGGTTTCGGGGGGTCTCCTTAAGATAATGATGGTATAAAATTATAACCAAAAACCCTATTCTAATTATGCAGGCCCCTGCATTAGGCCAGCTGGCTTTGGGACGAATTTCCGAAAGCTCTGAGGTTTGGACCCTGGCACTAGAAGTGCAAAGCAGAATCCACAACCACTAGGCCTACAACCGAACAAACCCTAAAACCGAACGCCTAAAGCCTAAACCCTGAAGCCTAACCCCTAAAGCCTAAACCCTAAAACCGAACCCCTAAACCCTAAGGGTATACCCTAAATCCGGAACCCTCAACTGAAGGAATGCTTCATCGTCCGCAACAGCTGGGGCGACCAGTACTATCCTCAACACTCAGCATCTGGCGTTGCCCTATATCCGGAATAAGCCTAAAGTAGGATCTTTAATGCTTGGGGTCGGGCTTTGCGGTACGATATCGGGACTGTCGGGGAATAGCAACAACAAGCCCAAAACCTTAACCCTATCCGCATGTATGACCGACCTTTCATCTTCCTTCATCAGTGGCTTCAGCCGCCATGTCACAAAAGTCCGGATGTCCGTGGAGTGATCATGGACTCCTGGGCTGCTAATATAGAAGCCTGCATAGTTAGCAATGCCAGTTTTTAGGAGACTTTAGTATTTTTCAGTTTATGGTGTCCCGCAAAAAGCCGGTTCTAATCTGATTATGCAAGGCCTCCATATTACGGAGCCGCAAGTGTGTGGCTCCCTCAAAGCTTCATCCCTCATTCCTACAAGCTCCCTACACCCTAAACCCGAAACCCATGGACCCCAAACTATCAAATCCAATCGCCCAAAACCCCAGATAACAAACCCCTCGGTCTTAGGTGGGGCGACAAGGGCTACTTCTACATGCCCTATGNNGTCGAGCGCCAGGAAGTCCATGGTGTCCGTTCAGGTCTTGATATATTGCTCATATCATATGATGGTATGATATATCATATGGTGTTTTGTCATTCCATGTGATACTATAAGTTAATAGTTCATACTATATCATATCGTATCATGTGATACTGGGCTCTATTGTATTATGCCAGATGGTTCTTTATCAGAAATCCGGGGGTTGAGTTCGGGTGAGGCTGAGGGGAGCAAGCGGTTTTTGTGGGGGGGGGGGGGGTTGTAGGAGTTTGGTCGGTTTTGTGAACGGGGCTTGGGTGAAGGGTGTAGGCTTTGTATCTGGTTTGTGGGAGTCTGCTGCGCTTGTCG